ACACTCAAACAATACAAGACTTTCATTCTCGAATGTACGATACTTCGCCATTCAAATAACTTGTAATATTCTATAACTGATATGTGCACTGGAGGTTCTTGTTCATTAAATCTTTAATCAACAGATATTTGACTCCCTTCATTATTCATCGGGATCATACACTGAAATATAATAGATTTTTTCAGATACATATAATCAAAGGAAAACTAATAAAAATTATTTGAAAACTTTAAGTTTTAACGAAAATGACAAAAATACGTTGTAAGTAAATAGTATCAATATTAACTTTTTAAAGTAAAAATATAATTTTTTATTAAAATAAATAGTATCAGGAGTTTTTCGTTAAAACTATATGTAATCAAGAGGAAAGCTAGTTTACAATCACCATCGTCAAAGAATAGCTCAGTCATGGTGTCTGTTCTTTAGGGGCTATCTAAGAGCAACTCCACCCATGGAGCCCTCCCCCCTGGCAATCCACTATTCAATCCACCATATTGAACAGTAACTGCCTTAAATGAATAGTAATTACCATTAATGAACAGTAATTGCCATTTACATCTCCACCCTTGGAACCCTCCCCCCTGTCAATAAGCAATAAAAATAATAGTTTTTTATGTTTGTTTAAATAATAAAAAATTACAAAAGCTATCTCTCTCTCTCTCTGACACAAAAAAAATAAAAAATTACAAAACCCTCGGGCCACAGGCCCGTCGACTCCCCACCCCCCTTCGCTCGACCTCCCACCCTCACTCGGGCCCTTCCCCGCTGGATTTGCTCCCACCGGCCCGAGGGCCCTTTCTCCTCGCCTGACGCCCGAGCAACCAGCAAGGCTGGAGTTGCTCTAACTAAACGATCGGACTGATGTCCCTGCATGGATGCCGACAATGACAGCGTACTTACAAACACAGTACAAAAAATTCAGCAAGCTACTTTTACAGGATAAAAGATCTAGAAATGATCTCTTTCCTATATTTGGAAGGAAGATAGATTGTCTGCCCTCCTATTTGGGTGTCTTTCTCGACCTCTCTTATTTGTACGGTCACAATTAAGTTACATTAACATTTTATATTCTTATTATTTTTTATCTTATTATTTCTATAAAAAAATTAATATAAAATGTTGACGTGACTTAATCGTTACAAAATAAGATGGGATAGAAATGGCATCCAAACATGAGGGCATACAATCTACCTCCATTTGTAAGTGTGGTTACAGGCTGAACACGAAGATATGGAACACGTGGCTTCAACTACAATGTCCCATGCAACTACATTTGAATTTGCTCAACTTGGATCAAGTTGTTCGAAGACAATTTATTTCTTTCAAAAGAAAAATAAAGATTGGGGTTTCAAAATTTTAAATTTTAATAAAAAATCATGTAAATTTTTTATTTAATAGTTAGAACAAAGTTCAATCTAAATCAGTCCAATCAATATACTCCAACCAAAATACCTTAATGAATTTTCAGTTTTATCCTTGACAATTTTTAATTCTTCTGTTGTTTTTTTATAAAAAAAAACGATATTATCTACTCTAACCGTTTGGTACGTGGGATAGGACGGAACGGAGTGGGACGAGTTGTTCCATCCCACGTTTGGTGGGCTTAAAACGGGTGGAACGCGCTGTTCCACATGACGAATTTTGGGTGAATTTTCGTTCCACATCACCTCCCTGGAACGACTCGTTCCACATCCGTGGAACACAAAATTATAACCTCTCCGTCTCCTTCTTCTTCATCCTTGTTTCCATTCGAGGGCATCTTTGCTCCATCTCCGTTCCATTCCGTCTCGTCTTGTCTCGTCCCGTCCTGTCTGCATACCAAACAATAGAAAGGGAATGGGCCTAGCAGCACAATGAGCTAGCAATATTATGCTTCAAATTTGCCTTTTTGGTGAGAATCGAACTTAAAATCTCTCACTTATAAGTAAAGAAGAATATCACTAAACCGTAATACTAAATGATTTCTATTGTTAGTTTTCCGTATGTTAGTCTTCCATTTTAGCTACTGCAGTAATCAGCACCATCTTCCACACAAAGGCCCAAAGGCCAACCCGACTCATATCAAACCCTTATTTTATATTTAAAAGCAGAGGATATGATTTGCGGGAAAAATAGAGAGTTTTAACGAAACACTCTCGTTACTGTTCATTTTTAATGAAAATGATATTTTTACTCTAAAAAGTCACTCATGTTACTATTTACTTACAACACTTTTTGTCATTTTGATTAAAACTCAAAGTTTTCAAACCATTTTCATTAGTTTTCCTTAAAAAAAAAATCAATCAATCATATTATACAATTGTTGCTTGCTACCTGGCATCTCATGAATGGCAAAGGCCAAAGTCATTAGATTATTAGGTTTCCCCTGTTAACCCAATAACATAAAAATATATATATATATATATATATATATATATATATATATATATCAATACAAAAATTTCATCCAACATGCCCTAACCAAAATCAATGTGAAGCATGCAACATTTTGTCAACGTTTAAACTAATAAGCTGGATTTTGATCCCTAAAACAACGAGGTTTCAAATTATAAACTCGGGTTTGAAACTTGAAAATTCTTATGATCTTGCACCAAAACACCCTGCCTCACTAATTTGGTATTTGTTTATTCAGAATTCAGTAGATTATAATTAACGAACTTTATTTAACCTTAGATTAGACCTACCTATAAGAATTGCTTTGTCTTTTGATTGTGTATCATATGAATTGGTGAAGAAGATCAATGAAATCTTGTTGTACATGTCAAGGTTTTGGAGGATGTAGTAGAAAACAACTTATATAAAATGAGTTTATTTTATCGTAGCTTATCATATTGTGGTTTTGTTTGGTTGCTACAGTCAATCAATTTTTTTTTCAACTCGTGCATTAACCAATTGGTCCTTTCATATTCCAGTGTTCTTTAAACAATCAATTTTGTTTTTAGTTTGATCTGCATTTATAATTGTGAACTATGATGAGTATAGCTTTTTTTTTCTTAGTATACGGATGAGTATAGCTTGTGTAACTTAAAAAGTTAAGAGATTGATTGGTTTTTTCTTTGGTTAAGACTAGTGCTTTTATTTCATACATATATACATTGTTCTCAGTTTTTTTTTGTAGTTTTTGAAAACAAGTTCGAAATAGTCACATTATTTCTGAAACCGAACCACAATAACCTGCACTATTTCTATAACTACAACAAAATTACGCACTATTTCTGAAAATTGAACCAATATAGCCCAAACTATTTCTGAAACTGAACCAAAATAACTCACAAATTTGAAATTACTGCAAAATAACTCACACTATTTTTGGAATTATAGCAAAATAACTCACATTATTTTTGAAATTGAACCAAAATAACCTACACTATTTATGAAATGGAATAAAACAAACATTATTTTTTAAACTACAGCAAAATAACCAATGCTATTTCTGAAACTAAACCAAAATAACTCACATTATTTCTGGAATTACAATAGTGATAGTATGGTGTTTAGTTTAAAAATTGTCATTTTTCAGTTCTACAAAAAGTCAATGTTAATTAGTTCTAGAAATAGTGGTAGTGTCAATGCTAAGTTCTAAAAACAGTGGTAATGTTCAGTTCTTGAAATAATGTTCATTTTTAAGGTTTTACATTTTGGAGACATTTCATGTGTTTATAATTGATAACTTTATTTACTTATAGAAATATATTTAACTATTTGATTTTTTTTCTTGAAGAATTTCAAAGTATCAATTTTGTATAGTTAACCCAAGAAAAAATAAACATAATTATTCAAGATGATTAAATGGATAATCATCATCACATCTCCACCACTTGGCCTCTTCCAGAATTTACTTGCACATAACCAAAAAAAATAAAAAATTGAAACAGAAATAAAATGGAAAAAGGAATCAGAAATAGAGACAACCATTAACAAGCATCAAATCTGTTGATGCTTTCTACTCATGAGGCTTTAATTTTTGTCTATCTATCTTGTATTTTGTCTTTTTCAATAACTTTCAAGTCCTTTACATTAAATAAAGTTATTAACTTATTAGATGGTTTTTTGTTAAAACAAACTTAAGCCAAGCTCTTTTCATTAAAACTCAATTCTTTTAATTGGTTATGAGGCTTCAACTACAACGTCTCAATGGAACCATTGTCTCTCGTTCGAAGGCATAGCTTGTATTCATGTGTTTTATATTTGTTTGGAGTTTGCTTGACTTAGTTTGATAGAGTTTTATTGAATAATCGTGTAGAGAGTTTGCTCTAAGATTTAGCAAACCCGTTACGTTAGTTATTTTGGGATGGTCGTATCAATCCTATAAAATATTTCTGGCTATAATCATGGTAGTTGTGGTAAAGTAGGCATGGGTTGAATGTACAAGCCCACAAAAAATAGATGATGCGCCCAAACAAGAAATCTAAGAACACCTGTAATGATCAAATGTTACTTATCACATATTACATATCTTATCTATATCATTATAATAGAGATGGAGCCCACCAACACATCTAAAGGATAAAGCTTAAAAGTTTAAGCCATAGAGGGTTATCTACATTTTTCATGACAATTTTGATCAAATCTAAAAACTCTACGCGGCAGAATATTAGATATTATAGCATTGGCGACTCATCTTCCTTCACTTATTTCTTCATACTACTCTCGTGGGACCAAATCACTAGACATACAATTGACAAGAAAATAAACAATTCCTCTAGTGTTGTAATAATTGTGCGTATCAACTCGTTCAATGTTATAATTAACGCATCAAGTATCCCGCTTGAAAAATACTTTCCCAAGAATAAAACTCAAAAGAATTAATGAAGCCACACATGTGGTGTAGCATTTGTTTATTAACTTATTTCTGCCATATGGAATTAATGAAATTAACTTGCTTCTAGTTTTATTAATTTAATCAAATAAGGTCCCTTTATTGTGTTCAAGTGTGAAGAAATCCAGCTAAAAAAAGGTGGACTGCATATAACATAAATTTTAGCATACATTCTGACGAATCACATATGAATTTTAATCGTTAAATCTTTGATCAAGTCCAATAACAAAAAGACATAACTAAATTTTGTCAAGTAACAAAAGATATAACGACTTAAAATTCCGGCCGCATAAGATACACCGAAGCACAAAAAAAAAAATTTCGTACGGATTACGAATACAAAGTTTTTATTATACAAGAGAAACTCAAAAACAACACTCTTAAAACACTTGATGCCGGAACTGTTCTGCATTTTTCACTATCTTTTCACGAGTTTAAGACGGAAGGTTTACTCATCCATGTCAACATCTTCATCAATTTCCTCAATCTTCATCTTCTTAACAGCCTGTTCTGCATCAGACCTTGGCCCGTTGGCATTCGAGACCTGGATCAACACATCCGACTTCTGCCCTGTCGCCGCATTGACAAGCCCTCCGTTCTTCTCAACCCGGTACAGCAGCCCAGTTCCCGTTGGCGCTACATCTACGAACACGGTCGAGTTTTCATCTATTTCTTCTCGCACAAGCATCCGCGACAACTCCGTCACCACCCTCTTCTCGAGCCATCTCCGAATAGGTCTAGCACCGTAAACCTGGAAGGGGAAATGGAGTACTTGGTTAGCATTACATATCATACAGGAGTGAAGCAGAAGAAAAGGTTTTGGATTCGCGAAGCTGATACTTACGGGATCATAACTCTCGTCTAGAATGTAATCCAATGCTCCGTCTGTAACTGCCATCGCGACGCCCCTCTCAGCCAGTCGGACTGCAACATCTTTCATTTGCAGTCTGGCAACCTTCCTCAGTTGATCGCGAGAAAGAGGATCGAACACAACAATCTCATCGAGACGATTCAGCAGCTCAGGCCTGAAGTGCTTTCTCACCTATTCAGGAACCAAACTTGTTAAGTATTGAAAGAACCAAGCGAAGCACGATAATTCAGAATTATGGTAGCCAAAGATGATACCTCTTGCATAACTCGATCACGCGCAACCTGCATCGAACACTTGCCCATCAAACCGGAGAGGAGATGTTCTGCCCCCAAATTCGAAGTCATGATGATCACCGTGTTTCTGAAATCAACTGTACGGCCTTGTCCATCAGTTAGTCTTCCATCATCCAGGACTTGGAGGAGAGTGTTGAAAACGGCGGTGTGGGCCTTCTCCACTTCATCAAACAACACAACGCTGTAAGGCCTCCGCCTCACGGCCTCTGTGAGTTGCCCGCCTTCATCGTGACCAACATACCTGTAAAATATGAATGAGTCGGAGTTCATAATGCTGCAGCTGAGCTCACAAACATGCTTGAGTGAAGAAAACTACAAATGCACTTACCCAGGGGGAGCGCCAATTAAGCGCGAAACGGAATGTTGTTCCATATACTCGGACATGTCAATTCTGACGATCAGATTTTCGTCATCAAAAAGTTGTTCAGCAAGCGCCTTCGCAAGCTCAGTTTTACCAACACCAGTTGGACCCAAGAACAGGAAGGAGCCGGTAGGCTGTTGTGGCCTTCCTAGCCCCGCTCTTGACCTTAAAACCGCCTCGGCGACAGCTTCAACTGCCCTCTCTTGCCCCACTACTCTCTTATGCAACCTTTCCCCAAGTCCAATTAACCTTTCTTTGTCATTCTGGCCAAGCCGCGTGACAGGTATGCCAGTCCAACGGCTTACTACCTCTGCAATTTGTTCTGGTCCAACCGTCTCCGTCAAAATCAAGTTCTCGTCGGTACTACCTTCAAGTTTTGCAATGGTGGTTTCCACCTCCTGAATAGCGCCATAACGCAAGTCTGCGGCCCTAGCTAAATCGTATCTTCTTTCGGCCTCTGCTAACGCTACCAAGAGCTCTTCACGCTTCTGCTTAAGCTTTCGAAGCTCATCAACCCTTTCCTTCTCCTTTCTATACTTCATCACCAGCGGCTGTAGCTTGTCTCGCAGTTCATCGAGCTCTTTTCGCACCTAAGAATAAAATGGTAGAACAACCAACGTAAGAACAAAAACCATCTAGAAATTGAATAGAAAAAAATATCTGCGACTTCATCAGACAAATGTTCTCAAATCATTAAGTTATGGATGAAGTAATCACCTCGACAAGACGAGCTTTGCTAGCTTTGTCCTTCTCTTTCTCAAGTGCGTGAAGCTCAACTTCCAGCTGCATCCTCTTCCTTTCGAGGTTATCAATTTCTTCAGGCTGGCTGTCAAGTTGGACTCTCACATTCGCACAAGCTTCGTCAACTAGATCAATCGCCTTGTCAGGGAGATGTCGCCCTATAAAGCAAAAGGAAAAAGGAAAACTTCAGAACCAAGTAATTTTACACAAAATTAATGCTTCACAATCCCTAAACATAGAAAATTGACCACAATTATTAGCTATTTTTTATTCATACCTGTGATGTACCGGCTAGAAAGCTGTGCAGCAACAACAAGAGCTCTGTCCAGAATTCGAACACCGTGGTGACCCTCATACCTCTCTTTCAGTCCTCGAAGGATGCTAATTGTGTCCGGAACACTAGGCTCCGCCACGTAAACCTGCTGGAACCTTCTCTCAAATGCAGCATCCTTCTCCACATATTTTCTGTACTCCTCAAGAGTTGTTGCGCCAATGCACCTCAGCTGCCCCCGTGCGAGCATTGGCTTGAACAGGTTGGCTGCATCCATAGACCCCTCTGTCCTTCCAGCGCCAAGAACAAGGTGAATTTCATCAATAAACAGAATCACCTTCCCCTCAGCCTCTTCCACTTCCTTCAAAACTGCCTTCAACCGCTCCTCGAACTCCCCTCGATACTTAGCCCCGGCCACCAAAGCTCCCATATCCAATGCAATGAGCCTCACATCAGCCAGATTACTAGGGACATCACCACCGACTATCCTCTGAGCCAGTCCTTCCACCACAGCAGTTTTTCCAACTCCCGGCTCTCCGATCAGAACCGGATTGTTCTTAGTCCTCCTCGAAAGAATCCTCACCACCCTCCTTATCTCCTCATCACGGCCAATAACCGGGTCAAGCTTCCCAGCCTGCTCAACAAGGTCCCGTCCATAAGTCTTCAATGCCTGAAATGTAGTATCCCCTGAAGCACTCTCCACCTTCTTCCCTTCCTTCCCACGAAGCTTTTCGACTTCAGATTTCACTTTGGCCGTAGCAACGCTGGCTTCCTTCAGCAAGTCCCCAATCTGGGAATCCTCGAGCAGACCGAGAATCAACTGATCAACGGCCAGGTGTGTGTCCCCTCTTGTCTTCTGCGCTTTCTGTGCTCTCCTAATCACTTTGATGAGGGATGAACTGGCTGGGATTTCGTCCGGCGGAGGTGATTGAGATGGAAGCTTCTTCAGGGCCTGGTTGAACACCCTCTCTACGGACTTTGGAGCATCGGGATTGCCAGCGCCATTGGCGATGGCTTGGCTGAAAATGCCGCTGGGATCAGATGCCAACGCGGTTGCAAGATGGAGCGGCGTGATCTGAGCGTGGCCGGATTCCATGGCCAGGCCATGAGCTCCGGCAAGAGTCTCATTGGTCTTGTGAGTAAAGCTATCAGGATTCATTTTCCTTCACCAATTAATTGATACCTAACAAACACTGCAAAACATCATATGTGAGAAAATGAAAATTCAAACTTTTCATCTGGGTAACTTCCAATTCAAATAAAAATTAAAACTTCCAATCTGGATTTCTTTCATTTCAACTAAAAATTAAATTATTTTATCTGGGTTCTTTTGAATTCAACCTAGCAACACGTAGAATCATTGTTCATACTTTTCTCAATTTACGAAATTCAGATTTTCATCTGGGTAACTACGCAATTCAAATTCAAATTAAAACTCCCTATCTGGGTACCTTTCAATTCAACTCAACAATATTGAAATGCGAAAACAGAGCGTACAAATAAAACATAGAAACACTGATCATATTTTTCCCAGTTCACGAAATTCATCAACCTCTTCGTTTCTTTTTCCAAAATTTAAGAAATGCAGTGCTATGCAACTAACAAATATAAATTCGTTCAAAACCCAAAAACCCATATGAAATCAACTCTAAAAACTCAAGGCAACTCTAAAAACTCAAAGATTCACAGAAAGAAAGAGAAATCTTGGACGTACCTTGTAAGGAGGAAGCTGAAGCTTTTCTGCAACAATGGCGGGTAAATATATACAATTGCGTTTGAAGAATTTGAATTGGTATTTCTTCTGGTTGATCGATTGCTTTGGCCTGTCTGTGTTGGTTGTAGATAAACAGAGACGGGAAGTCGAAACGTTCTGATTTTTTCTGATGGATGCTTGGGAGAGTGTGGGAGAGATTTTAAGGACGACGAAACGACTGGCCGACACGAAAGCAACTAGAACATACCAGAGTCCAGACGAAGCGGGAAGCTTCCAAGGCGTTTTTCGTAACTTCCAGAATGTTCTCTTTTTTTTTTCTTGTTTTTTTTTTTTTTTTTGAAAATGTAAACGTCGGCTTAGGACGTATCAAGTATCATCGAGTAAGTTCCGCGGGACCCAACGTATCTAATTACGCAGCCCCTTTTTTTTTCAATTTTTTGTTAATTAATCAATTTTTTAATTATTTTAATGTCCATGTAAATCCAGATTGGCAAGTGACGCACTGATGCCTAGTCATTGTTCATGACACCAATCACAAGTTAATCGCTGTTTTAATGTATTGTTTAATGAATATATGGAAGTGTTTTAGAATTATCACTTTAAATACTAAATTGAGATGAAAAGAATTTTATACATGTAATGTTGAAAATCAAGAAATTTTAAGGTAGTAAATTGAGAATTACTTTAGTTTTTATTTTTTTTTATTTTTAACTAGATGAAGCCCACTAAATAAAATAAAAAAGAGATAAATTTTTGAAATGTCACATGAACATGTACACATTTTTCAATTTATCATATAAACTAAAACTTTAAGTAATTTAGCTTTTTGAAATTATTAATTTGTCATCTTTCCCTATCTCCGTTAAGTTTTCCATTCAATATAAGTCATGTGTCTCACACATGACTTGTGTTTAGGGTTATTTCAATCATTTAATACCTTACTTCCCTTTTATTAAGTTGTATTCAACAAAAAAACGGTAGGGTTTCGCAGGCCATGGAACAATATTTTTTATATGATAGTAATGAAATGATCATGCAATGCACTCTCTTCTAGCTGTTTCAAATATGTAATGATACACAAATGGGAGTTTGCATTTTAGCATGCCACGAAGACATAATTTCATACGAACTGTATAAATGAGAAATAAGTTGACGTTGTGTGTCATCAATGGAGTTGTAGATGCACATGTGCTAAAGAAAAGTAAAAAATTTAAGTGTTTGTACTAAATAAAAGTAAATAAAATAAAATAACTTGTAAAAATATGTTAAATGACCTAAATAACCCTAAACACAAGTCAAGTGCTCGCACATGACTTATATTTAATGAAAAACTTAACAAAGTTAGGGTGAGATGACAAACTAATGATTTTGTAAAATTGGTATGACAAATTGTTTAAAATTTTAGTTTATATGACAAATTGAAAAATATGAACAAGTTCATATGTGTGACAGCCCGTCCCTAATTTTAAGAATTTTTAAAGTTTTAATAAAGGATTTTACAAAAATGCCCTTTGAAGGTACGTGCATTATTCGAGGTTAATCACCATGTCGTGCCATCTAAGATTTGTTTTCTTGACATATCCCCGTAGTACTCGTCGTTACGGACGCGTGGGCGCAGACGGTTCGTGATTTGGAGTTATATCGAAGAAGTTATTAAAGTTTGAAGTTGGGATTTTAAGGAATTATAATTTTAGTAAAATATAGAAATTCTTTTATGAAAATGGACGGCCCAGATTTAATGATGAATGAAATGGATGGTTGGGATGAGAGAAAGTTTTGTGTGTGTGTGTGTGCGTGAGAAGAAAACAGAAAAGAAGAGGGATTGGGCAAAGCTGCCCAATCGGAGAAGAAGGAGGAGAGACCGAATGGGGAGAAGAGAGAGGGAGAAGCTGACCAACTAGAGGAAGGAAAGGAGGAAAGGAGAGAGGGCGAGAAGCGGAGGAGAGAAGGAAGAAATGGGTTTTCCCCAACCCGTATACCCGCGCGACCCGCGACTTCCAATCGGCGGGTTTTCGCCATTTTCGTCCAATTTTCCGACGAATTGAATCAAGGTACCACTCCTAATCATCATCTAGGCCTTCCCTCTTCACGTTTCACCCCAAGAATCATTGAATTTCGTTGTGATTTCGCGAAGAACACCCCTACGGGTGCCGCGACCCTTTTGTTTAAATTCTCCAAATTTTGAAATGTTTTCTTTCAATTACTAACACCATTAGCATTCCCTTAGGACCTAAAACAAAGCCCAAGAGGTAATTGAGGCGTTGGAACAAGTTTGAAGGTCGAATTGGAAACACCCAATTCTAGGGTTCTTCACGGTTTTGGTGAAATTGAAGCACTTCCAGGCCAAATTGGCCTTGGTCTCAGGTATGAAAGTTGTTCTACTCATTGAGATCTTCAAATCTGCAAATTTTGGTAATTTTTGGAAATAGTTGAATTTTCCGGCGAGCCGGGGGCGGCCAACCGCCACCCGCGGCGGCCCGCGCGGCGGCGCGTGGCCAATGGCCCGCCAATGTCATTATTAGCTTGTGATTAAGGTTCTAGGTTCTGTTTTGATAATTGATGGACGTAAATTGAATAATTGAACCTAAGTTGGTTACGATTCGTGGTTAGATGAAAATGTGAATTGACGATCCGACCGTTGGATCGTCATCAAACTTTGATACGTTGTAATACGTAATATTTGAGGATTATAGGAACTTACGGATTGGGAATCCGATTTACGGATCTTCTGGAATTGAAGTTGTAAGTTCATAAAATAGAATGTTAACCGTCACTTAGTTTTGGAAATTGACGAAGATCCGACCGTTGGATGGTAATGAAATTTTAGGATGTTGTCCTAGAGGTATATTGTGGACCTCTGGAAGTTACGGATTTGAAAATCTGAATTGCAGATCATCCGGATCGAACTACGTAGTGACGTGTCTTATATAAGTTATGTATTCTATCGGCAGAATTTCTGAGGTTGGATTTGATTGTTGTTCTAGGCGCTAATCGTCATGACGCCTTGATGTACGGTGCTAGGGAGTTGTGGGCGAACTCCAGGTGAGTGGGCAGTTTTGTTTTCGTATTACCTATATACTATTGTTTTTCCCAGAAAAAATGCTTTTATGCGAAATTATGTTTTGAAAATGCCATGCATAGAATTATTTGGAAAATGTGAATTTCATATGAGTTATATGATTGATATATGATGCATACATGTTGCATGGTGCTGTGGAGGCACAGGTAAGTCAGGTGAGTTCGTTTATTCATTGAATTGTTGTTGTTGAGATGTTTGAGCTCATAATCTGCACCCTAGGTGTTAGTGCTTATATTATTCACCACACCGCACGCTCGCCTTGGATCCAAGTAGGTGGATGTCGTACAGACCATGTGAGGGTTCCGACATGCCAGTCGTACAGACCATTAGAGGGGGTTCCGACTGGTGGGTGACCTTAGATATGCGCGCTGATGATATGATGAGAGAAGCACTAGAGCGTATTTTACACCTTTCATCGTATAGACTACCTTACGTAGTTCCGAGTGATGTGCAGAGTAGGGCCGTATAGGTCACTGTGGTGACTCCGGCTTAGTGAGATATTGAGCTATTGAATTAATCGTATAGGACCAACTGCAGGGTCTCCGATTGATTCCTTATTTCACCTGATTTATATTTTGATTTATGGCATGGCATGTTTTTCTTGAAAAATGTTAAAGATTTGGGATTCAAGCTTTGAGATTTCATATGGTTATATATCTATATATATATATATATATATATTTCTGAAAAGTGTTAAAGGTTTGAGATTTGAGCTTTTTGCTTATATATATGTTATATATATGCTATTTTCTGGGAAAGTATACAGGTTTTACGGTGAGGGGTTATAAATGTTTTAAATGAAAAGTCTTCGAAAAACTTTGTTTTACTGACCCACTCAATTTTGTTTTGCGCCCCTCCAGGTTCAAGTTAGCAGAGCTTTGGTGGCCACGAGGAATCCAACGGTGTTCTGACAGAATTCACAAAAGTAGGACTCACCCTCGGGTGTGTTATCTTAGTAATTGGAATTTTTTTTTAAAGCTTCCGAACTGTGTAAATGGTTACGTCACTCTCACGTGACGGCCAGCACGCCCTCCTTCGGGACGGGGTGTGTCAGTTGGTATCAGAGCCTAGGTTGCAATTCTGGACATCTTGATAATTTCCTAGTGTCTTCTGTCAGAACTATACCGCCTCGTAGCGAGCCACGTAGTTCGGATGAGCCTAATTTCCCTGATATAGTAGTTTGGGGGGAAACTATTGCCATTGTGATTCAGTCTATTATCTGAAGGGACCTTTTGAGACTGGTTATAAGTTAAATTTGAATCCCTAAGGACCTAAGGGAGCAGATTGATGGCTTAATCAATTGGGAAAAGGCGTTTCAGATTATGCAAGGTTAAGGGAATTTTCCTCCCGATAGGTAGGTCGAGATGATTACCTAGTTTTTGAGTGATGAATCTGCATTTTGATGGAGATAGGAATGTTATCCGACAATATCGGAAGGACAACTGTTTGGAAGTTGTTTAAAGAATTGTTTAAGAAAAGTTTATTCCCCCCGGCATATTGTGATGGTAGTAAACAAGAAATTGCAAATGTGAGACGAGGAAAATGACGACGGATGAATATTATAGAAAGCTTACAGACTTGCCTTATTTCCATTCTGATGATGTTGTTAATTCGGTCGAGGTGTTATGTCGTTTTTGGCTGGATGATAAGAAGAAGTTGCGTTCTTTGGCGATCACTATCCATTGTACTTTTTACCAAGAGTTTACGGGATGCTGTTGGGCTTTGAAGACTTTGAGAATATGATCAGCGAGAGTAAAGAGGAATAAGAAAGGAATGAGAATCAGAATAAGACGATAAAGTTAAAGAAAGATTCGTCATATCAAAGACCTCGGAGGACTCAGAGCTTCAAAGGAAGTGAAATTAGAGCTAATTTTCCCAGCTTAAGTTTTACTGCCACTGGTCAGAGGCGAAGTGATAGATTTACTAGTGATCCCAGATTTCTGAGACAAGATGACTCTGGTAGAGGAAATGTATAATTGTGTCAAGCTAGATTGCTATGGGGAATCAGTTAATTTTTTGTTGACCTGGATGACCAGAGGTTACTTTTGGGGGTAAGTAAAGTGGAGTGAGTTATGCCATTATTCCTGTTGAGAGA